TAGGCATCTCTTACTTCCTATAGTATTTTAATACAGGTTTAGAAAACACATACACACACACAAACACAATGTATGTATGTATGTATGTATGTATGTATGTATGTATGTATGTATTTGTTTTCGTAGATTTTCACGGGTACAGGTATGCAAGTCTTGGTGTATTCGGGTCATATGAAACAGCCGACTAATCTGCAAACATCAACTCCATTAACTAATCAAGATATAACAACATAGCCAACCAACCCGCTTACAACAACAAAGCCAGCACTCCACACCTCCCCACCAGTATTTATAGAGAGATGGCATCTCCGATCACGCTTTGCTCGCATATGCACGAAGCCAAAGACACCAGCCTGAAGATGACGAGTGGGACCTCCTCGAAATGTCACCAAGATACTCTCAATCTTACATGGGAAAAGTCCCGAATACACCAAGACTCGTATCTATGTATGTATATATATTACAAACTATTCTAAAAATATGAGTTCCAGGTATATTATAAAGAAAGAAGCAGACATCCTGCGAGCTCCAGAACTTAAAATTTTAAAATAATTAATAAAATAAATTAAAATTAATTTTAAAAATTTAAATTAAAAAAAATAAAAATTTAATTATTTTAAAATTTTAAAAATTTAAGTTCCGGAGCTTGCAGGATGTCTACTTCTTTCTTTACGTATGTATGTATGTATGTATGTATGTATGTATGTATGTATGTATGTATGTATGTACACACACACACACACACACACACACACACACACACACACACTGGATTGGAGCTGAAAGATGAAAGGGAAGCAGTATGCTCCCTCCCATATTGGGGTAGACCAGGTGCTTCGACAGAAAAACATCTCTCCCCTGGCTGAAACTGATAAAGGGAGGAAAACATGTGGCTCAGAGGTTAATACAACTACCTAATATGCTGGCAGCCCAAGTTTGAATCCGAGTAAGGGTATGGCTAGCTGATGAGAGCTAAATAGCTTGAAATAGATCTATACTAGTCTCCCTTTATTTCTTTATCAGCAATTATAAATTTGGTATAAAATGGTTTGTCGTGAATGCGACTGCTTGAGGGCTCCTAGATTGAAGCTGAAAGGCGAAAGGGAAGCAGTATAACCATTTGTCCAAAATGGTTTAGGGTTTCCCTGCCTAAGCAGGGGGTTGGACTAGAAGACCTCCAAGATCCCTCCCAACTCTGTTATTCTGCTATTCTGATCTGTCCCTAATCTGGCACTTCAGATCCTCCAATGGGGATCCATTTTCTCTGTAATTGTGTTCCTGTACTTCGTGACTGGTTGTCCCTTTCCTTACTCATCACACAAAAGATCAGAACCATCAGCATTCTTTCTCTCCTGCTTCTACAAAGTCCAGAGTTTCGCTTCCATAGAGTGCCACAGGGAAAACCATTACCTCCATAACTCTAATCTTTGTAATTATAAAAATATCATGGTATCTGAATATCATTTCCAAGAACGTCATTAGTAGCCTGTTAAGTGCAGGTCTGCAGTATATTTCTTTGTCTTCTGGTTCCTTTACTGTTATACTTTTTTAAAAATTTGATTTATATGCTGCCCTTCTCCAGAGACTCAGGGCGGCTTACAGTGCGTTAAGCAATAGCCTTCATACTTTTGTATATTTTATACAAAGTCAGCTTATTGCCCCCACAAACTGGGTCCTCAATTTACCTACCTTAGAAAGGATGGAAGGCTGAGTCAACCTTGAGCCTGGCAAGATTCGATCTTACTTTAATTGCAGACAGCTGGTGTTAAATTACAGTGCCTTGTCTGCAGAGCTATCCAGAACTATACTAGATCATAAAACTATACTTTTATGATCTAGTTCTATACTAGAACTAGATCACAAAATATACTAGAATATAAAAGGCAGAGGCTGTCAATCACCTATTAATTGTTAATTGTAAGGCTAGTTGCTGAAACTATTGCTACTCGTTTGATCTTTTTATTTAATCATAGTCTTATTGTTTCATTGTGTTCCTTGACTTTCTTTTTTTTTAAAAAAAAATATTTTTATTATACATTTTCCTTTATTATACATCACATTTCCAGTTTTGCAACGACAGTGTACTGGCTGAATCAAGTCCTTTTTAAGTATAGGTAGGTATACACCCTGAGTATAACCATTATTCTCATAGTCATACAGTATAGACTCTTTTAAATACATAATGTTGTACATCATAGTTATAACCATTATTTTCATAGTTGTTCCATAACACTCTATACATTTATCACTCTGTATGTTTTAATCTATAGTCACGTACAGTCCAATATTACTATTGCTTATGGTATATATTCGATATAACTTTCTATTTCTATTTTGTTGATCTTCTTTCGTTATTAAGTTACTAATCTCTACACCTGTTATCTAACCATTTGTACAATAAATCCCATGTTAAGTAATACTCTGATTCCTCTTTAAGTTCCATCGTTAACCTGTCCAATTCAGCACATTCTAATATTTTCTTTATTACCTTTTCATCTATAGGTATACTTTCATTTTTCCAATTTTGTGCATCTGTGATTCTAGCTGCTGTTATTACATGTAACATTAAGTATGTGGTTATTTTATTGTATTTCCCCAGTAGTATACCTACCATATTTTTCGGAGTATAAGATGCACCTGAGTATAAGATGCAGCTTAGTTTTTGGGGAGGAAAATAGGGGGGGGGAAAATCAGCCTACCAGGTATTCATCTAGCTAGCGTCCTTAGTCTGGTCAGCTTCAGCACATTAGTTTGCTGGTGTTTTATCCCCTGCTTGGGGATAAAAAACAGTTTCTAAAGCACAACTGATCTTTGGAGAGAGAAGCAATGAGAAAAGCAGGCAAATCACAGAGATCACTGCGCTAGTGCCTCGTTAGGGCTGAAAAAAAGCTTCACAGCTGAGAGTCGGAGGGAGCAGGCAAAGCACAATTACTTCACTCGCTAGCGCCTCATTAGGGCTGAAAAAAAGTTTCACAGCTGAGAGTCAGAGGGACCAGGCAAAGCTCCGAAAAAGCTACATTCGGAGTATAACACACACCCAAATTTTCAGCCTCTTTTAGGAGGGAAAAAAGTGCATCTTATACTCCAAAAAATACGGTAATAAGAATAGTTCTGGTTTCAGATCTTTTTGTTGTGCTGTCATCTCTTCTAACCACCTTTTTATCTTCGACTGTATTTCTTGACTCTCAGTGGCAGAGTTTCCAGATTTTTTTATATTGTCAGCTATCACAGCAGTGTCATCAGCATAGTGAGGGTTACTCCTGTAATTTTAAAAGATTTCTCATCTTGGGCTGGATGAAGAGAGGGATGATGTTGAGATCATGGGAAATGACAGTTCTGCTCTATGCTGCAAGGACAGACCACACCTGAAAGACAGTGTGAAGTTTTGTCTTTGCAAGAGAAGAAAGTCCAGAAATAAGTGTGTGGAATGAAAACGACGGACCACAAAGACATGATCAAGGCTCGCTGCAGTGTTTATTAAATGCACTGGGAGGTGGGAATGTCTCCTCTGAAAGATAAGTGAGACAACCTGCCAACAAAGAGATACATTCATATTTATACATTTCAGAAAGATGGAGAAAATTTTGCACAAGTACTTATGTGCAAATAATACACATTCATAACAACACAATATATTTCTGGTTACTTCTATCCAGGGGTGAAATGCTCCCGGCTCAGACCGGATCGTCTGATCCGGTAGCGATGGTGTCGGGTGGTTCGGAGAACCGGTAGCAAAAATCCCTGCCCACCCCCATGCCCAGCTGAGCCACGCAATCATCAGAGGCTTTTTTTTAATTTTTAAAAGCATTTTTTCTACAACCTATTCAGCCGAAAAATGCTTTTAAAAGTAAAAAAAAAAAAGCCTCTGATGATCAGGCAACTCAGCTGGGATCGTCAGAGGCTTTTAAAAGAAAAAAAAAGCCTCTGCCGATCAGGCAATCAGCTGGGATCGTCAGAGGCTTTTAGAAGCATTTTTTTTACAAAAATGGTTGTAAAAATGGTTTTAAAAATAATAATTAAAAAAAAGTTGGCCACGGCCACCCAGTCACATTCTCCCCCAAGCCATGCCCACAGAACCAAATTTTACATTTCACCACTGCTTCTACCCTTTTCTATCCCCCCCCAAAAAGTTTTAGTGAAGAAAGAAACATCTACTGTACATCTTGAGATTCAGAGAATCCCAGAAATGTTCTGAGAGAAATTTACATTAGGTCACTGTGAGCTAACCATTGCAAGCTCAATTCTTTCTGTTTCAGTTTGTCTCAAACTGTTCCATTCAACTGAAAATTAATTTACCCCACAACTGACAGCATTACTTGGTCTGTTGTGTGGATTTTTGGATGGTTTAGGGGTGGGGAATTTGTGGTGGGTGGGAGTGCGTTTGGGGATTGTTATGTGTGTTGGACCTGGTCTTTGGGTGTTAAGTGAATTTCGTTGTATGGGTATACTGTGTATACACGTACAATGACAATAAAGTTATTATTATTATTATGAAAGTGTGTATATTGAAAGCAAGGTATTTATTTTTTTACAGAAAGCATCACCAAAGGCAAACCTAAAGAAGCTTAGTTGACTATCTGCAAGCAGCCATTTAGATAAAGTATTTTTTTTTATTTTTTTATTTTTAATTTGATTTATATGCCGCCCTTCTCCGGAGACTCAGGGCAGCTTAAAATGTGCTCAGCAATAGCCTACATACTTTCGTATATTTATACAAAGTCAGCTTATTGCCCCCACAACTGGGTCCTCAATTTACCTACCTTAGAAAGGATGGAAGGCTGAGTCAACCTTGAGCCTTGGCGAGATTCGAACCTGCAGTAATTGCAGGCAGCTGGTCTTAATAACCAGCTTAAAAACAGGGTGCCTTAGACCACTGTACTACCAAGGCTCTTGGTAGTTTTAGAATATAACAAAATGAATGCGTTTCAAGACAGGGCACAAATATTAAGTAAAAAAAGTTAAAGTCAAAAGGAAATATATTAATACTCAATTAATGGATTTTATGACGTGTGATATGGAACAGCACAGATTTTATAAGGATATGGAGATAGTCCCATAGTTATTATAGGTTTCTCATTGAGCTTTTTCACTCCTTCGGGCAGTTGGAAATGGAAGGTCCTCAGCAGGCTGGTTAGGATGGTGAACATCTCAATTCTTGACAACTTTTCTCCTAAACAGACACGCTGCCCTGTTGAAAGAGAGATAGGAAGGACAGAAAATGAAAAATAATCTGTAGTGAAAGACCACTTGGGCACCAGGATGAATCTGTAGCAAACAAATGATGAGCATTCGTTAAGGATATTCTGATATACCGCTGATGTTTTGCTGAATTGGAAAAAGCACTTCAAAGCAGAACATTCCCACTCCAAGACATGCTCATGGTATCTCAGTATCAAAATGCATGTGTCAACTTGCAAAGGTTTCAAGTTGCCATGAGCAGGAGGGAGGGAGAACTGATAGAGCTGACTGATTTCTCTAACTGAAGCTACATTCCATACCTGCTTTCTTACCGCAATCAGAAGGAGGGTGTTGGGTTTCACAGCCAGCCAAAGTGGTTAATTGGAGAATGTGATTTATGACATGGCCAGGGAGGAGGGGAGAGACAGGGTCATAGGGGAACGTAAATCTACGTGGGATTAGTTCTAACTGCATCCGAATATTGCTGAAATGGTTCTCCTAATAAATGACTGTATTTCTTTTGAAGTTTGGCTCATGGCTCATGAATTAATTAGGACATCTTTCAGAAACTTCACAGCATGTTTAAATGGTCCAAACAGCATAGCACACATTTTCTCTTGTATAAATCTGGGAGGCAGAAATGTTTGCTGTCTGGAAATGGCCAAATTTTGGTTAAAAACTTTGCAAATGCAGCGCACGACATGCCAATTTTGGCTTTGTATGTGTAATTAGTTGGTTTATACTTCATTGTAAAATTATACGAACCCCCTCAAAATTATATGATCTAAGCCATTCATTTCCAGGAGCCTTGGTGGTCTCAGCTAGTCCTATTGTTCAGCAAAGCAACTGTGATGAAGGAGAAATCTCCCCATACCTCATAGTTTTCCTTCAAGTTGACCAACTGCCAATTCACTCAATTTATATCAGCTGAAGTTTTGGGAGCAGACTGAGTGAACCTCTTATACTGGATTACAAACGAGAACCCTTAAAGTCTTCAACTACCTCCCAAAAAGAACTGGAAAAAGAACTAACTCCCCATCAGTACTTTTAAGAAGAATCTGAGTATTCTGGCCACAAATTTATATACCAGCTGTGTACTGCAGTTGCCAAGAAGTCAGTGCAAACCTGGGCTGCATCATGAGAGGTATGAGGTCAAGAGAGGTATGAGGTCTTACTTACAAGACTGCCTTCTGCCACCAATAGCCTCTCACCGCCCAGTACGCTCCCATAGAGAGGGGCTTCTCAGGGTGCCATCAGCCAAACAGTGTCGACTGGCGGCTCCCAGGGGGAGAGCCTTTTCTGTGAGGGCACCCACCATCCCCCCAGAGATACAGAAGATCCCGGATCTGCGCACTTTCCGCCGTGCCCTCAAAACAGTCCTGTTTCAGCAGGCCGGCCTGGCCTAACTTTCCCTTTATATTGCTTTTGATTTTGTTTTAAACTGGGATGTCTTGAATTATCTAGGACCAGAGTGTTTAGTATATTTTAATTGGTTTTTTAACGTTTGTATTACATGTATTTTTATCTTTCGCTGTTCACCGCCCTGAGTCCCTCGGGAATAGGGCGGTATATAAATTTAATTAATAAATAAATAAATAAATAAACAAATAAACAAATAAATAAATAAATAAATAAATAAATAAATAAGATCATGGGAAGTAATAATTCCACTCTACACTGAACAGACCACATCTGGACCATTATTTTCAGGTTTGGTTGCCACAAAACAAGGAAGATATTGAGGAACTGGAAGAAGGGCAGGAAAAAAAAAAGATGATGAGAAACTTGGAGGTTAATCCCATGAAAAAATTTTTTTAAAGGAACTGAATGTATTTAGCCTAAAGAAGAAAAGGCTGAGGGAGACCATCATTCCATCAGCAATCATCTAAGATTTGAAGAGCTGTCCAGGATGTGGATTCTTCAGAATTCCTCAGAGTTGGACAAGAACCCTGGTGGAAGTTTTACACAAACAGATTCAAACTAAAAATAAGGAATGATTTCCTGATTCCGAGAGCTTTTTTTTTTTAATTTGATTTATGTGCCGCCCTTCTCCGGAGACTCAGGGTGGCTTACAATGTGCTCAGCAATAGTCTTCATCCTTTGTATATTTATACAAAGTCAGCTTATTGCCCCCACAAACTGGGTCCTCATTTCACCTACCTTAGAAAGGATGGAAGGCTGAGTCAACCTTGAGCCTTGGCGAGATTCGAACCTGCAGTAATTGCAGGCATCTGGTCTTAATAACCAGCTTAATAACAGGGTGCCTTAGACCACTGTACTACCAAGGCTCTTATTTAACTATTTAACAGTTGAACAGCCTGCCTCCTGGAATCATGGCTAATCCATCGCTTTTCAAGAAAAGGTTGGATGGCACTTTGAGTCGGATCATTTCAGGATTCCATTTCTGGATAGGTTTATTGGACTTGAAGACTTCCAAAGTCTTTTCCAATCACTTACTGTATTTCTATGATTCTATGCAGTTTAGAGAGACGAAAAGGGAAAGAGATGTGCTAGACTATTGATTCTCCCGAGCTTCCACTGAATTGCTATATAAAATAATGTTCAGTTCTGCTACTGAAAGGAAGGCAATATTAGCTAGTAGAGGTGGGATATATATATTTTTAACTATGGGACCAAACATATATATATATTTATTTAACTGTATTTTAATGTTTGTATTTATGTTTTTACTTTGGCTGTGCACCGCCCTGAGTCCTTCGGGAGAAGGGCGGTATATAAATCTGATAATAAAGAAATAAAGAAATAAAGAAACAGAGATTAAGATGAGACCATAGCTTCAGGTTCTAGCAGTCAATGAAAAGGAAAAGAACGGCTTTAAATTTCCTGAAAAACATTACAAATTGCCTATCAATCACAAACTGCCTTGAATAGTTGGATTTACCTGCGCCAAATGGCAAAAACGCTTCTCGAGTCTGAAAATTCCCATCTTTGTCTAAAAAGTGATTTGGGTTGAATTCGTCAGGTGTCTCCCATTCCTCAGGATCCAGAAGAACAGAGCGCAGATCAGCCAAAACGATGCTTCCCTTCAACAGCAACAGAACAGAAAGGAAAAACTTTAGCTGTTTCATAATATGCAAAAAAGTAGAAGATATTTGTAGAGGAAGCATTTGTTGGCAATAGACCGCCATCACTCTCCCTGCCTCCCTTTCTCTCTCTCAGCTTTTCCAAACTCCCTTTTAATGCAACAACTAATCTGCAGAATGGAGGTTTTTCTTCATCCATTAAAAGAAAGAGATAGTTTCAGATTTGTTACTCTTCCCTACCAGGGTGTGATGAATCTGACAATCAAAGATGGCAATGCAGGGCAATACGTCCTCCCAAGGTATATTCCTGCAGGAGGAAAGAACTGGAGCAGGGGAATTACGGAGGTGTAGTTGGAAGGTCAGAGAAACCACATCGGTGGTGGGTTGCCCCTGGTTCGGACCGGTTCGCAAGAACCGGTAGTAAAACCGGCGGGTGGCCCCGCCCACTGCCCAGGATGTCATCATCAGCAATCTGTGCATGCGCAGAAGCAAGGCGCACGCGCGAACAAAGCGAGGGTTCGCGCGTGTTCCCATTGCAAACCGGTGGTAAAGATAAGTAGAACCCACCCCTGAACCACATGACATAGTGACCAAAGCTATGAAACTAACAATGGGGAGCCATTGGTAGTACATTGGTAGTACATTGGTAGTACGGTGGTCTAAAGCACCCTGTTATTAAGACCAGCTGCCTGAAATTACTGCAGGTTCGAATCTCGCCAGGCTCAAGGTTGACTCAGCCTTCCATCCTTTCTAAGGTAGGTAAATTGAGGACCCAGTTTGTGGGGGCAATAAGCTGACTTTGTATAAATATACAAAAGGATGAAGACTATTGCTTAACGCATTGTAAGCTGCCCTGAGTCTCCGGAGAAGGGTGGCATATAAATCAAAATTTAAAAAAAAATTGGTTTCTAGACCTCACATGACAGTGAAATGGAAAGAGGTGGAGTATCCAAGAGAGATACATATGGAGTATCAGTGGCAAATAATAATAATAGTAATAGTAATCAGGTTATCAATTGACCTTGCTTGTGAAAAGCTGACAAAGAAGATTGCAAATGCAATGATGCAACCGCAGGACACTAATTGCGAGCCAGTTGCCAGGCACCCGAATCATGATCATGTGACTGCAGGGACGCTTCAACAACTACAATTTTGAGGACCTGTCATAATTTCTTCTTGTTCAGTGCCATCATAACTTTGAACTCACTATTTCTTGATTGCTTATGTGTACCCTATGACTATCGTTAAGTGTTGTACCTTACGATTCTTGATGAACGTATCTTTTATTTTAAGTACACCGAGAGCTTATGCACCACAGACAAATTTCTTGTGTGTCCAATCACACTTGGCCAATAAAGAATTCTATTCTATTCTATTCTATTCTATTCTATTCTATTCTATTCTATTCTATTCTATTCTATTCTATTCTATTCTATTCTATTCTATTCTATTCTATTCTATTCTATTCTTATTCTTATTCTACTCTACCCTACCCTACCCTACTCTACTTTATCCTTTCCTATCCCATTCTGTTCTAATATCCTATCCTATCCTATCCTATCCTATCCTATCCTATCCTACCCTACCCTACCTTACCCTACCCTACCCTACCCTACCCTACCCTACCCTCCCTACCCTACCCTACCCTACCCTATCCTATCCTATCCTATCCTATCCTATCCTATCCTATCCTATCCTATCCTATCCTATCCTATTCTACTAACCTAAGGATTATCTGTATTGGTCTGTAAAAGAGATTATTTATCCATAATGTATGTATAGTTTATTAACCTTTGCATTGCAAATCCCCCATATGTACTGTATATAAGATGGCATCAATCTGCTTTAAATCACTATCATATATGAACATTTCATCTGTATTGCTATTTGGAACAATGGTTTGTCCATACTTGACAATCAAAATAAAGAGGACAAGTACCCCCTAATCTAAGGAGAGGGAGCAGTGGATCTACACAAGAAAGCATCCCCTCCTCCAGGAATATTCTTAGCAAAGAGTCACTTGTGGGGGTTTCCAAATTATTAACCAGAGATGTCATCAGACCATCCATAGATATTGGCTGCTAAGGACCCCCCTCTTTTTAAAAACAATATCCCTGGCATTCAGTGAGCTTCAGTTATGACCAAATCATGACAATATGTGCTACCAAGCCATTTCCAGGTGTTATTTTTTCAACTCCCTGTCTCTGAAGAAAAGTATTAGAAGGTGGCAAAACTCCATAGCCACTTGGAAGTTTGGCATAGACCCAAAGTCCTAGAACGGTGCTTTGCAACTTCCAAGTCAAGAGGGGTCCATCTCCTGCCATTCTGTTAGCAAGTTGTAGAGACCTGGAGTAGTATATCTTCATCTCTGTGATCCTCCTAATATTTACTCATTCAAATACTTTTGGGCATTTCAGCCTCATGTCAGCCTGTTATCTCTGAAACCTAAAGAACCTATTGGTTGGCCATATGGTGGCAGCAGAATAAGTAGATGATATCCCTCAACCAGTGAGGAGATATGACAAAGGGAGGAATAGCCAATAGACCATGGATGACCATAGCTCTCTTAGGTTCAGCCCTTAATTTCTTTGAATTTTTTTTCTGTAATATTTTTGGCAGTTTACTTTTGAAATGGTTCAGCTTTGTCAGTTTAAACCCATTCAAAGAAAATGTCTATGGAGATTCTCAGTCATCCAGGTCATGGTTCTCCCAAAGGTGCTTTTTCAAGAGGCAACTGGACTTTCTGGTTTTTCTTTGAAGATGTTTCGCTTCTCATCCAAAATCCTTCCATTCCCCACCATCCAGTCAGAGCTGAAGAAGCTTCTTGGATGAGAAGCGAAACATCTTCAAAGAAAACCCAGAAAGTCCAGTTGCCTCTTGAAAAAGCACCTTTGGGACATTTCAAAGAAAATAATATATACCGTATTTTTGGGAGTATAAGACACACTTTTTTCCCTCCTAAATGAGGCTGAAAATTTGGGTACGTCTTATATTCGGAATGTAACCCTGCGTGGTGCCCAAAATGGCTACCCGGAACAGCTGATGATGCCTTCTCTTACCCCTTCCGTGCTTTGCCTGCTTTAGTCACTGGAGCTCCCTCCGAGGATCAGCTATTGCTTTTGAAGCTGTTTTTCAGCCCCAACACCAGTAAAGCAATCTTCCGTGCTTTGCCTGCTTTTCTAATTGCTGCTCCCTCTGACAATCAGCTGTGCTTTAGAAGCACAGCCCCAACAAGCCCCAACCTCAAAACCAGCGAGCGAATGAATGTGCTAGGACTAGCCAGATTCTGCCTGGTAGGCAGAATTCCAACCCCACCCCCCATTTTCCTCCCCAAAAACTAAGGTGTGTCTTATACTCTGGTGCATCTTATACTCCGAAAAATATGGTAAGTTATTTTTGTGCATATTGTTTGGATTGCAATTCCTGAGCAGACATATCTCTTCAACTGCCATGTTGGGCTTCTTCTTTCTCTACCTTTGGAATGTGGAAACCCCACATCTTCACATCTCTTAGGCTTTGTCTCGGTATTGGTATAAATAAGATATATTTTGTTCGTTGAGTCTCATGTATCACAGCATTGGTGTAGGGCAGCTTGTGCCGATCATCATAGGAGATTGATCCTGAGGCACCAAAGACATCTTCAATCTCCTTGTGGACTTTTTCTGTGGGGGGAGAGAAAGGCAAATCCATTTTGAATGATGCCATTTATGATTGAATAATCTCTTACAGATATCTTGTTTTTGTTAAATTCCTTCTTTCTTTCTTTCTTTCTTTCTTTATTAGATTTGTATACCGCCCTACTCCCGAAGGACTCAGGACGGTGAACAGGCACAGAATAAAATACATAAATAACAAAAGTTAAAACCAAATTAAAACCAAATTAATATTTTAGCCCAAGACAATTAAAATCCCAATAATTTAAAACAGATTTAAAATTGCGATTTAAAATTTAGAAAGGGGAGAAATTTAGTCCAGGCCGGCCTGCTGGAATAAAAGGATCTTAAGCGCATGGCGGAAAGAGCGCAGATCCGGGATCCTCCGTATTTCTGGGGGGAGTTCATTCCAGATAGTGGGTCCCCCCACAGAGAAGGCCCTCCCCCTGGGGGCCGCCAGTCAACATTGTTTGGCTGACGGCACCCGGAGGAGCCCCTCTTAAATTATTTCCTATGAGTGTATTTATGAACCAATACTTCAGGAGGTAGAGTAGGCTTAGAAAAACTATTACAATAATGTTCCGTCCATCATTTTCAGAATTACCGTAAGTGCAGATTTGAATCTATAAAAGCAGAATGCACGATAACTTAAACTTATTCAATATATTGAAAATTTCAATATATTGAAAATTTAGTCAATCCCCTGGTTCATTATTCCATACTACTACATAGAATTACGAATACAAGTAGTCCTCGACTTGCAACAGTTTATTTAGTGACCATTCAAAGTTATAACAGCACTGAATAAACTGACTTATGACCATTTTCCAAAGCACCTGAAGGCCAGACAAGGAATAATGGATGGAAACTGATCAAGGAGAGATTCAACCTAGAAATAAGGAGGAATTTACTCACAGTGAGAACAATCAACCCATGGAACAGAAGTTGCCTTCGGAAGTTGTGGGAGCTTCATCACTTGAGACTTTCAAGAAAAGATAGGATTGCCATTTGTCAGAAATGGGGTAGGGTCTCCTGCTTGAGCAGGGGGTTGGACTAGATGTCCTATAACGCCCCTTCTAACTCTGTTAATCTGTTATCTGTTATTTTTCACAGTTACAACCTCTGTAGCATCCCCATGGTCACATGATCAAAATTCAGATGCTTGACAACTGATTCATATTTATGACGGTCGCAGTGTCCCAGGATCACATGATCCCTTTTTGTGACCTTCTGACAAGCAAAGTCAATGGGGAAGCCAGATTCACTCAACAACTGGGCTACTAACTTAACACCTTCAGTGATTCATTGAACAACTGTGGCAAGAAGTGTCGTAAAACGGGGCAAAATTCACTTAACAAATGTCTCATTATACAACATAAATTTTGGGCTCAGTTGTGGTCGAGGACTACCTATACAGAATTACTACAGCAGTGTTATTAAAATAGAAAAATGAGGAATTTCACCCTTGGTTAGCACCAGGTTATTAATTATGTCATTGTTTAGAGAAATGTTGGAAGGCATGATAAGATCCAAGACTGCACCTACTTGGGTTGGCAATGTGGCACAAGATTGATGACCTTATCCGCTTCTCATGCAGAAAACAAGGAAATTGGATTGTTTTATTCTTATGTGGTAATCATGCATGGTTGATGAATATCTCGATTGTATATCTTGATTGTAAAAGTATATAAACCTGAGTGTAATGGCCCTCTAACATCTTCCAGCCTCAGAATACCTCCCTTACTTGGTTACCCCTGATGGTATGTACTGGATATGTGGAAAATATGCATATAGTCAACTCCCAGCTAATTGGTGTGGTACATGCGTTTTGGGAATCATAAGACCTGGATTTTTTCTGTTGCCCCTCCGTCAGTGGCAGGTGTTGGGAGTCCCAGTGTATGATGAAGTAGGAAATATCCGAGCCAAAAGGGCGGCCGTTGACACATCATTAATAGAAAAGGTAAAAATAGGCCATTGGAAGGATGATGAATGGCCACCAGAGAGAATCATAGAAGTGCATGGGCCAGCCACTTGGGCAGAGGATGGCACCTACGGGTACCGTACCCCCATTTACCTGTTAAACCACTTAATAAGGTTACAAGCTGTAGTAGAAATAATAACAAATGAAACTGTGAAAGGCGTAACCAAATTGGCCGCTGAAAGCATGAAGTCCCGAACCTACATAATGCAAAATCGCTTAGCCTTAGATTACCTCCTAGCTAAAGAAGGAGGTGTGTGTGGTAAGTTTCATTTGTCTAATTGCTGTATTGAAATAGATGATAGTGGAAAGGTCATTAAGGAAATAACCGATAAAATGGTAAAAATAGCCCATGTCCCGGTTCAAACCTGGGAAGGGTTCAATTTAGCAGATGCCTTCTCAGGCTGGTTCCCAAAACTCCCAGAGCTGCAAGCAATAGTAGCACTCATAGGTCTAATTGCTGCAGGGTGTATAATCTTGCTCTGTGTATTACCAATTCTTGTACGAGCTGTCTCAAACAGTTTGTCCTTGCTGGCAAAGAGGGAGACGGTAGCTCAAATAATGGCTATGTGGGAGTATGAGAGAATTGCGGACACAAACAATTATGGAACTCATCTTGAAAAGTCAAAAGAGTTCCAAAGGGGGGAATAAAATAGAAAAATGAGGAATTTCACCCTTGGTTAGCACCAGGTTATTAATTATGTCATTGTTTAGAGTAATGTTGGAAGGCACGATAAGATCCAAGACCAAGATGACTGCACCTACTTTGATTGGCAATGTGGCACAAGATTGATCACCTTTTTTTTTTTAATTTGATTTATATGCCGCCCAATGCGTTAAGCAATTGTGCTTCTCATGCAGAAAACAAGGAAATTGGATTGTTTTATTCTTATGTGGTAATCATGCATAGTTGATGAATATCTTGATTGTATATCTTGATTGTAAAAGTATATAAACCTGAGTGTATTGGCCCTTCGGGGTTCAGACTTTGATCGAGCTATCGCTGCTGAACCTTGCGCAATAAATCTTTCCCTTCGGCAAAGAGCTGGCATGGTCTCTTTTCTGTAACATTATAAAATATTTTTTTTAAATTTTGATTTATATGCCGCCCTTCTCCGGAGACTCAGGGCGGCTTACAATGCATTAAGCAATAGCCTTCATACTTTTGTATATTTTATACAAAGTCAGCTTATTGCCCCCACAAACCGGGTCCTCATTTTACCTACCTTAGAAAGGTAAAATAAAATATTTTAATTTTTTTTTATATTTATACTATCGGGTTTCTTTTAATTTGCAAACTAATCATCTTTATTATAGGTTTCAAATTTCCATAGAATATTATTGTGAAGATTAAGTTCATCATTCAGTAGTTTTTCAGATGTCAAAGAATCCCTGTGTATTTTCCACTCTAGTTATTGTTCCCACTGCCCAGAATTGTCTCACCTTGGATGTCGGGATGATTTGCCAACAGAAGCACTGCCCACATCAGGCTAGAATGTGTTGTGTCTGCTCCAGCAACAAACAATTCAAGCAGACAGCAAGCCAGGTTCTCTTCACCAAAGACAGAGTTGGGGTCATTCTTGTTCTGTGTTTAGAATGAGTAATTCCACTTACAATAAATTCTAGGCTTCCTAGAATTGGTCATGCCGAAAGGCAAAACAATACTGGCAAGAAATTAAGATAATGATTGAAGAAATTACAAAACAAAAATTGGAAATGAGGCCGGAAATCTTTCTATTGGGAATAATCACAGCACAATACACCAAAGAAATAAAATATCTGATCATCCATATCCTCACAGCAGCACGTATACTCTGTGCCCAAAATTGGAAATCTGAGCAGTTACCAACAGAAGACAAAATAATTGCCAAAATCACAGAATGCGCAGAAATGGAGAAGCCCACAAAAGAACTACAAGAGAAAGACGATACTGATTACTATTTAGTGTGGCAAAGATGGTACAGCTGGCTGGAGGGAAAAATGGGAATATAAAAACAATTTTTGACTATTCAATAGGGATGTATAGAATTAAATAAAGAGTGAACTATAATGCCCTATATACAAATATGTAAATATATGAACATAGATATAGATACGAATAGAGAAAGATAAGAGAAATAGAAAAATAACCCACCGATGTAGTAATTTTAAGAGTCAGTCATGGGACTGAATTGATGTTTGTTTGTTATATATGTTGTCTTAATGTATTTATGTTTGTTTGCATATTTTTTATTAATAAAAACTTTAAAAAAAACAAACAAAAAAACCAGTAAATTCTAGGCTTCCTTCAATATGTTTAATGTTATTAGCCACAAATAACATCCATCCATCCATCCATCCACCTGCCCGCCCACCCGCCCACCTCTATCTATCTATCTATCTATCTATCTATCTATCTATCTATCTATCTATCTATCTATCTATCTATCTCTTCTAACTACGTACGTATGTACCTACGTACCTACCTTCCTATCTACTTATCTACCTACCTACCTACCTATCAGAGGTGGGTTTCAGCAGGTTCTGACCAGTTCTGGAGAATGGGTAGCAGAAATTTTGAGTAGTTCGGAGAACCGGTAGTAAAAATTCTGACTGGCCCCGCCCCCATCTATTCTCTGCCTCCCAAGTCCCAGCTGATCAGGAGGAAATGGGGATTTTGCAGTAACCTTCCCCTGGAGTGGGGTGGAAATGGAGATTTTACAGTATCCTTCCCCTGCTATGCTCACCAAGCCACGCCCACCAAGCCATGCCACACCCACCAAGCCACGCCCACAGAACCAGTAGTAAAAAAAATTTGAATCCCATCACTGGGATTCTATCTATCTATCTATCTATCTATCTATCTATCTATCTATCTATCTATCTATCTATCTATCTATCTATCTTCTACACTGCCCATCTCACCTAAGTGGGTGGTTTGCAATAAAACCATAAAAACCATAATTAAAAACAAGATTAAAACAGAGTTTTTAAAAAAGGATTTTAAAAGTTGAGAATTACAAAGAGATAAAAGAGGCAGAAGGAGTGCCCAACCCCATCCCCAAGCATGCCACCTTAGACTCCCCCCCCTCCAGGCCATTTGGCAAAACCAGGTCATGAAACTCTTCTGTAAGGCCAAAAGAGTGGGGGCTCACCTCACCTCTAGGGACAAGTTTCCCATTTGTCTAGTCTCTGCCAGTCAGACGTCTGCAACCAATGGGGTTTGCAACATACCCTCCATGTCCCAAAGGTGCTTTATCAAGAGGCAACTGGACTTTCTGGGGTTTTTTTTTTTTTATTGAAATTTTTTTTTAAAAAATTTTTTTTTACAGTTGTCCTGCAGCAAGTTAGCTGTGGTGACTTAGCCATGGTGAATTGGCCATGGCAAGTTAGCCATGGCAAGTTGGCTGTGGTGAATTAGCCATGGTGAATTGGCCATGGCAAGTTGGCTGTGTGAATTGGCCATGGTAAGTTAGCCATGCCAAGTTGGCTGTGGTGAATTAGCCATGGCAAGTTGGCCATGGCAAGTTGGCTGTGGTGAATTAGCCATGGTGAGTTGGCCATGGCAAGTGGCCATGGAAGTTAGCTGTGGTGAATTAGCCATGGTGAGTTGGCCATGCCAAGTTGGCTGTGGTGAATTAGCCATGGCAAGTTGGCCATGGCAAGTTGGCTGTGGTGAATTAGCCATGGTGAGTTGGCCATGGCAAGTTGGCCATGGGAAGTTAGCTGTGGTGAATTAGCCATGGTGAATTGGCCATGGCAAGTTGGCTGTGGTGAATTGGCCATGGTAAGTTAGCCATGCCAAGTTGGCTGTGGTGAATTAGCCATGGCAAGTTGGCCATGGCAAGTTGGCTGTGGTGAATTAGCCATGGTGAGTTGGCCATGGCAAGTTGGCCATGGGAAGTTAGCTTGTGGTGAATTAGCCATGGTGAGTTGGCCATGGCAAGTTGGCCATGGCAAGTTGGCCGTGGTGAATTGTCATAGACCCTGGAGAAGAGCCCCTCCATTATGTCTAATAAACCCTATAGTGAACCTTGATTTTTTTTAATGCCCTGTATTTGAATTCCGTGACCTTCACCTGTCATCCACAACAATCCACAGTCCCCAAATAATAAGAAAATTCTAAATGCATTCTATGAATATAAACTTCCAAATACATATCCCATCACGTCATGGATCCTAATGAAAAATGGGTGGCATAACTTGATATGATAAAACAAAAAAATAAACGAATATGTAGGTAAATAGGCAAAATACCTTTTCAATTTGTAGTAGATAGAAATCAATGAAATCCTGTGGCTCATGCAGAGATTGATATTGCTTGTGCCTTTCTATTTCCTCCCTTCCAAGTGAAAGGATACACTCGGCAGACTCCAGACCCTTCTGGTGAGGTCCTGGAAGATGTTTCATCAACCACGGGATTGCCTCATAAAGCTAAAAAAGTAAATAAAAAAAAAATTCCATCACTTCATACTACCCTGTTTTCCCCAAAATAAGACTTATCCTGAAAATAAAACCTAGCATGTTTTTACACATGCACCTAATATAAGCCCTATTCCCCCCCAAAATAAGCCCTACTTAAGTGCCTGCACAGTTGGCTGGCCAGCCGCCCATTCTGTCTGGTTGCTCATGGTCCTGCTGACACAAGGTGAGGCAAGGCGGGGTGGAGCTGCCCTACGCGCCCCACACCAGCTTACCTCAGAGCCCCTGCAGCCAGGCCATCCATGCCCCAACAACTGCCTCTTGGCCATGGCACCGGTGTTGGAGTTGCCACCACAAGGCAAGGCAGGTGTTGGGGCATGGTTGGCCTGACTACAGGGGCCCTGAGGTAAGCCAGTGCGGGACACATGGGACAGCTCCACCCCCACCTCATGGCAGCGGCACTGGCATACCATGTGGCCTCCTGCCCTGCTGCATGCAAGCAGAAGAAGTGGGCTTCCTGTACATTAAAAAAAAAAAGACATTCCTTGAAAATAAGCCCTAGTGCTTATTTTGGTGCCCAAAAGAAAATAAGTCTGGGTCTTATTTTGGGGGAAACATGGGTATTATGAATAGTTAGAATATAGAACAGGGATGGCTAACCTTTTTGCCATTGCGTGCCAAAAGTGGGGGGAGGGGGGGTCGCGTGCGTGTGTGCACACATCCATAATTCTATGCACCCCGCCCCTCCATGCATGCGTGCATGACCCCTCTGCCTGCTTTTGGCACAAGATGGCCCGGTGGGCCCAGTAGGCCCGTTTTTTGCCCTCCCCAGGCTCCAGAAACTTTCCTGGAGCCTGGGGAGGGCAAAAACAGCCTTCCCCACCAGTCGGAGGCCCTCCAGAGGCCGGAAATGGCCTGTTTGCCAACTTCCGGTGAGCCCAGAAGGCCCGAAAAGCAGCTGGCTGGCACGCACATGAGTGCCAGAGCTGAGCTCGCGTGCCCACCGATATGACTCTGCGTGCCACCTGTGGCACGCGTGCCATAGGTTCGCCATCACGGATATAGAATTTTCCCTCTGCAAAAGAGTTAGTGTGAAGCGAGGGAGGGGGGAGAGAGAGAGAGAGAGAGAGAGAGAGAGAGAGAACAGGTAGGATTACTCACTTTTTTCAAAGGGTCAATATAGTAACTGTCAAATCTGAATTGCTTTGCTTCATTTAAAACTTAACACTTTTCAACTTGCCAATGAACTGTGGGGAGGGAAGGGGGAAATGGAATGTGCAGAATGTGTGCAGAGATTGTGAGAGCTTGGAGCCAGCAAGGTCACCGCTGCAGGTGCTTGAGAAAGAGATGGACCCTTCTCATAACAAAAGACAGTCTCATAATTGGACAATGTGATCATCCAGGGGAAGGAGAAAGAGAAAATATTGTTTAACTGGGCAAGCATCAGTGCAGGAAACCAGTGCTGGTTTTGTTTTTTTCAGTACCAACATGGTGTATCCAATAAAGTTTTAGTTTTGGGAATTCGATTTTCCTGAGAGTGTCTCCTTCCATCTATCTATCTATCTATCTATCTATCTATCTATCTATCTATCTATCTATCTATCTATCTATCTATCTACCACTGGGGTAGCGCAGTGGTTAGAATGCAGTACTGCAGGCTACTTCTGCTGACCACCAACTGCCTGCAATTTGGCAGTTCGAATCTCACAAGGCTCAAGTTTGACTCAGCCTTCCATCCTTCCGAGGTGGGTAAAATGAGAACCTAGATTGTTGGGGGCAATATGCTGACTTTGTAAAAACTGCTTAGAGAGGGCTGTAAAGCACTGTGAAGCGGTATATAAGTTTAAGTACTCTATCTCTATCTCTATCTCTATCTCTATCTCTATCTCTATCTCTATCTCTATCTCTATCTCTATCGCTATCGCTATCGCTATCTCTATCTCTATCTCTATCTCTATCTCTATCTCTCTATCGCTATCGCTATCGCTATCGCTATCTCTATCTCTATCGCTATCGCTATCTCTATCTCTATCTCTATCTCTATCTCTATCTCTATCTCTCTATCTTCTCTTTCTCTTTCTCATCTATCTTTCTATCTATCTATCTATCATCTATCTATCTATCTATCTATCTATCTATCTATCTATCTATCTATCATCTGTTTATTTATTAAACTTGCAGTGACTCTAGGCAAGTTAGAGATCTGGTTGCTCTAGTATAAAAGATCACTCACCAGATGAAAAATACGACCTGCTGTTCTTACAAGGGTCGTAATGTCTTCAACTAACTTCCGGAACCTTTTATCTTTAAATGCAAACTGGTGCCCAAAGCTAAAAGCACATATCACATTACAGACTGAATTCATCAATGGCAATGAAGGATCAAATGGCTGCCCTGAAGAGGAAAATATATATCATTAATTCAACTTCCCCTGGTACTGAGAACTTGTAATGAGAACTCAGGGACAACTGGAGTCTTAAGGCAATTTCTTATTTTTTTATAGAAAGTCACATAAAATGCATCCATTTTCAGATAGAAATGGTGACTTGCAAAGCAACTTATCACACAAGCGCCTAAGTTACTAAGATCATATCCACCTAGGTGTTTGCTATACGCCCTTCCCATCATGGAGCTGGCAGGAAATCGTGCCATTGTAAATATGGTGCCCACCCTTATTACAAATGTGGAATAAATCAGGGCTCTGCTGCTGTCCGTACAGTTTTTACTTTCAACCCTCCAAGGTCTTTGATTGGTATTCCTTCAGTTAAAATTCCAGACCTGACAAATAGTACACAGGATACGAAGGGCCTCTCTTCCAATTGTCACGCATAACTGCATTTTTGCATGATCAGACTGTTTATTGGACTGTGCCTTACTATTTCCTGAAAGTAAACACAACTCAGTGTATCTGTGTGTTGACTGTGTTTATTCGTAACTACTCTCAATCGCTTTTATGTACACACCCTTGCTACTCAAGGGTTACTCTGTGAATTCCTTAACAGAGTCAATCTTGCTTTATTTGACAGAAACCCACTAAGTCTTAGTTACCAGCTGAGCATTCTCATGGCTAATGACACCTACCTTTTGAACGTGCAAAGATTTCTATGAGTTGCTGGGCTCCTTCTTTAATCTGATGCTCGATCACTTTATTCCCTAATCCCAGCAGCCGCAAAGAAGCATTACCAATCTGTCGCTGCTTCTTCCAGATGTGACCATTTGAAAACACAATACCTGAAGACATAATAAACCAAGGACAAATTATTGATTGCATTCATTTTTGTTCATTTTTTTTTAAAAGGACAAATTAGCATTGTAGAAGAAACCATCGTTATGGTAGTTCACACCTGCTTATATAATAGCAATAGCTCTTAGACTTATATATTGCGTCATAGTGCTTTGCAGCCAAGCAGTTTATGGAGTCAGCATATTTGCCCCCAACAATCTGGGTCTTCATTTTACCAACCTCAGAAGGATGGAAGGCTGATTCAACCTTGAGTCAGTCAGGATCGAACTCTTGGCAGTGAGGCAGAGTTTGCTTGCAATATTGCATTCTAATCACTGTATCACCATGGCTCTTACATAAATATATGTATGTATGTAAGTTTCAATAAAAGATAATCCTATTTTGCTATAATCACCCATGCATAATCTGCATGTACAGACAACTCTTTTAAAAGATGCAATAATAGCAGGTCTTCGGAGCCATAGATTTTTCTTTCCATTATTGACCAATCTCTTAGTATCAATAAGGCCACAGAGAATCCATTGATTTTTGTCAAACTAAGTTGATACTTCCTAGAGGAAATCTATATGGTCACTAAGAGTCAATAAGAGCCTTGATAGTACAGTGGTCTACGCACCCTGTTATTAACACAGCTGCCTGCAATTTACTGCTGGTTCGAATCTTTCCAAGGCTCAAGGTTGACTCAGCCTTCCATCCTTTCTAAGGTAGGTGAAATGAGGACCCAGTTTATAGGGGCAATAAGCTGACTTTGTATAAATATACAAAAGTATGAAGGCTATTGCTTAACGCACTGTAAGCCGCCCTGAGTCTCCGGAGAAGGGCGGCATATAAATCAAATTAAAAAAAAAAATCAACTTGATAAATGAAATGATTAAGTTGATACTCTTGGATAATCCAGTTCTCAGAATTAAAATGTATTATACAGAAAAGGTAGATGTAAGCATTGTTTATAGTTTAGCTCCATTAATAGATGAAAATGATACCTTTGCTATCATTCTCCACTCACATATTTGTCTGATGTAACTCAGTGCAGGATTTGCAATTACATCTGTTGATAAGCAGTTTGAATGCGTGACTTTTTCATTCTCAGAAACACATAGCGCAATTGCTAAAGGTCTTGATGTAATGTAGTAAGCCTACAATTTTGGTCTTTCTAGTATTGTATTAGTGCTGAGTAATAACTGAATGGAATAAAGAATTAGAGTTTCCTATTTTGCCCAGACAAAGTAGAAATACGTAGAGACAAAGGTTCACGGTTCATTGATTTTATTAACCTCCACAGCAAAAACTCTGACAAACTATAGACAGTAAGAGCAGTGACCTTGAGAAGACTATGCAAGAACAAGGTAAACATTTATTAAGTTCTTTAAGATAATGAGATCATTGAGATAATATTCAGAAGTTGATCAGGCCAACACCTCCCTCATTCCATGAAGTGTAAAAAGGAGGGAAGCATAGTATAATCAGACTTACAAGATTCTATTATTTATTTGATCTCAATAGATTATAGCTTTGCTTTTAGTGTGGAATTCATTCTGATCTGATTTATCTATCAGAGTCAAAATAACAGAGTTGGAAGGGACCTTGGAGGTCTTCTAATCCAACCTCATGCTCAAATAAGAGACCTTATACCAGTAGTAAAATCTAATTTTTTTACTACTGGTTCTGTGGTTGTGGCTTGATGGGTGTGGTGTGGCTTGGTGGGCATGGCAGGGAAGGATACTGCAAAATCCCCATTCTCTCGCCACTCCTAGGGGAAGGATATTGCAAAATTCCCATTCCCACCCAACTCTGGAGCCAGCCAGAGGTGGTATTTGCCGGTTCTCTGAACTACCTGTCAGAACCTGCTGGATTTCACCCCTGCAGTATACCATTTGAGACAAATGGCTGTCCAGTCTCTTCTTAAAAGCCTCCAGTGATGAAGGTCCCACAACTTCTGAAGGCAACTTCTGTTCCACTGGTTGATTGTTCTCATTGTTGGAAATTTCTCCTTAGTTCTAGGTTGCTTCTCTCCTTGACAAATTTCCATCCATTGCTTCTTGTCTTGCCTTCTGATGCTTTAAAAAGAATAGATGATCCCCTCATCTTTGTGATAGCCTCTCAAATATTGGACACTGCTGTTATATCAACCCTAGTCCTTCTTTTTACTAGACTACACATACCATATTCCTGCAACCTTCCTAGTAGGGCTGGCATGAACAGAATGCTGAAATTCCTTACTTTCTGCAACTTACCCCTTCCTTTTCCTCGAGATAAAAAGAAAGCAGTTAGAGTCCGACCACCAAATTCTTCTCCATATCTAACCAAACCTTCTTTTACGGCTTTGAATCCGGACAGTACCACTACAGGTTGATTCCCCAACCACAATGTGTATATATTTCCATATTTCTCAGCCAGCTGGGGAGTAAATCAGAAACGGGAAAATTTTTTTACAATAAAATAAAACAAATATTACTTTGTCGCCATCAGCTTTTTTCTATTCCTCAATTCAGAGAATAATTTTCATATTCAACTCTCCCACCATTAACAGTTTTGGTTTCCCCGCCCCTAAAATTCTGCTACTTTATTAGGAAATAAAAATGGAATATTAAGGGGAAAAGAAGTAGATGTTTAAAAACATCTATGTAACTCCAAGGGTGTATTATTCCTATATCTTGATAGACTCAGCCCACAAGTGCAGAAATCATGGCGTCCCATTTTTCCATGTTTTCAAAGCTCTACACATGCACACAAGCCTTTGGCAATTTGCTTAATTATACCAAGTTTGGTGATTAGACTGAAGAATTTGTGTTATGAAGAGTTTGTTTTAATTTAGTTTGGACTATGCTGAGAATGAGTTGATTTTCAGCTGTTCTAATAAAGTCTGTTTGTTTTGGGACTGTTTGCGTCGATTACTACCTACTTGGGCCTTAGTCACAACACTGATGCAGTAGATAGGCTTCTTGATGCTGTCAGTTTAACCACTCTCAATTATACCCCTATCCCTGTGGCTGGTGAAAGTGTCTAGGATGGTGACAGCTTAGGTGGGTTCAGGCAGCAATAAACTCTTCACTTCAGGAGGAGACATTACCTTGTAAGGAGGCCCTCTTGATCCCACCTGCCTGGGTTGTTTCTATCCATTGCAGCTTCAGATGAAATGGGTTATACAGTTGCCTTCCAGTCAAGTGTCAGGTCCGGTTATGGGACAGAAACTGCATTGGTCGCACTTGTAAATAATCTCTGGCAATGATCTCCAGGCCATGCAAGGAATCCATGAAACATACCTTCTCTGTATTGGTCCATCCCTTTGATGAAATAGCATGCCATATGCCACACTTCCTGAATATTGGATGGCCCCATTGCTGTTTTACAGTTTTGGCTTTTTCCTCAAGCACTGGGACCTTACTCTCAGGAGTTATGAGCTGTTTTGATCCCTTAAGTGAAGGCACTTCGTGCTTGTGAAATAATAATCTTTAGTTGGTTTCAGTCTGGAAGGGTGTGCCATAATTTGACTGCTTTGATCAGTCTATCAGATCAGGGAGTGTGAACTGTTTTTTGAAGATTAACAAGCTGTAAGTAAATGGACTAGAACAAGCTTTGCACTCTTAAGTGTTAGAGAAAAGTAATGTGAGACGCCAATCCGGATGGATATCCATGAAACTTGATCTCCTTGAGGTTAGGAAGTTGGTGTCTACAATCACTGGATATTTTTATCCAAGGTTCAAGACATAAATACAAATGTGAGGAAAAAGTGGAAGATAACTCGCCTCAAACTGAACAGTATAGGCCAAATTTGGGGAGGGGGATTGCTGGCAAAAAAAGGAAGGTATTTGGAAATGGGCTAGCTGCAGAGAAAATGTCCTGCCCGGGCTTCTGGCAACTGCTGTTCCAAGCCCCCTTCCTCTTGATCCAGAGGAGACGTAGGACATGCATACAGATTAGCAGGCTCAGGGACAACATGTTACTTGGCTATACAGGAGAAAATGTAGCCTGCTGTGTCTTCTAGAGGTAGGGGACATGAAAATAATGCAGAAGCCACAACTCCTGCCTTCCCTGCCTTGTTCTGAACATCTTGCCAGCCTTCAAAAGCTGGGTGTGGAGACGTGCCTCCTCGTGACATTCAGGTGGTATAAATGTTTCCTCCTTTTTCTTCCACTCCAGTCTGGAATGAATACTAGCAGGGGTGGGATTCAGATAGTTCTGACCAGTTTGAGCGAACCGGATGCTAATTTTACATCTGATTTGCCGAACTGGTAGTTGCAATGACTGGCAGGCCCCACCCACCCCTCCCCTCCCCTCCCAGGAGTCTCCACGTGGCAGTGCCCGGCCGGAGGTTCTGGGAGGGTGAAAAATGGACCTCCTGGAAGTTCCAGAAGTCTGGAAATGGGCCATTTCCAGTCTCCAGAGGCCCTCTGAGCCCGGGGGAGGCTGTTTTCAATCTCCCGGAGGCTCAGGAAAAGCCTCTGGAGCCTGGGGAGGGTGAAAAATGGGCTTCCCGGAAGTTCTGGAAGTCCAGAAATGGGTCCGTTTCTCTGCCCACCCAGCAACCGGGCAGAGAACCAGTTGCTAAATTTTTTGAATCCCACCCCTGAATACTAGTAGAATAAGGCATCAGGGGGTGAAAAAGGAGCTTCTCCTTTATAAAATGTGTTTTCTGTGATCCAAGACACCAAGCTGAGGGGAATAGCCAACATTTTAGAAGATAGGCTTAAGATCCACAAGGATATTGACAGATATAAGCATTGGGCCATACCCAATAAAATTCAATTCAATGATGAGAAAAGTAAGATTTTACACTTAGGCAAGAAAAACTAAATGCTTAAGGAGGTACCTGGCTGAACAGCAATAACTGTGAGAGGGATCTGGGAATCCTAGTGGCAAATCACTTAAATATGACCTAGCAGTGTGCTGCAGTCGCCAAATAGCCAATGAAGTCCTATGCTAGATCAATAGAGGGATACTATCAAAATCACATGAAGTATTAGTATCACTTTAAAGTGCACTGGTAAGACCACAGTTGCATCTACTTTTGGTCATCAAAATACAAAAAGATGTTGAGACTCTAGAAAGAGTGCAGGGAAGAACAACAAAGACGATTAGGGGACTGGAGGCTAAAATATATGATGAATGGTACCAGGGACTGGGTATAGCTAGCTAGGGGGTGACATGTTAATAGTCTTCCAATATTTGAGGGACTGTCACACAGAAGATGGGGCTCCATTTATTCTCCAGAGCATCTGAAGACAGGACAAATAATAACAGATGAAAACTGACCAAAGAGCAATCCAATATAGAACTAAGGAGAAATTTCCTGACAGTGAGAAAAATTAATCAGTGGAAGAGTTTGCCTTCAGAAGTTGTGGGTGCTCCATCACTGGAGGTTTTTAAAAAGAGATTGGACAACCATTTGTCTGAAATGGTACAGGGTCTCCTGCTTGAGCAGAGGGTTGGACTAGAAGATCTCCAAAGTCCCTTCCAACTTCTTGTCCTGTGTTCTGTACACAAATGGCTTGCCTGTATTGTAGTTTTCAAGACTTTATTACGATCTTGATTCATTATGAAGTATGAGCACCCCAGTTACAAGACTAAAGTGGGATATTATATAAATTCCATAAATTCCACCTTATGATTCTTGATGAATGTATCTTTTATTTTATGTACACTGAGAGCATATGCACTGACAAATTCCTTGTGTGTCCAGTCACACTTGGCCAATAAAAAATTCTACTCTACTCTACTCTACTCTACTCTACTCTACTCTACTCTACTCTATTCTATTCTATTCTATTCTATTCTATTCTATTCATCAACATCTTAATGCAAACATCTGCCTATTTTCTTCCAGAAGGTGGATGATTAGGTCCCTTCCAACTCTCTTATTCTGTATTCTGTAAATGCTTCAAGAGGGGCAGCTTTTGACTGGTTGCATGCTGACTCATGAGCTATTAACACCTAGTATAGCCTGATCTAATCCAACCTCTATGCATTTCCACACATTTTTTGTTCCCATCCATAAATTGGCTGACCTCACACTGCCCACAAATTCCCTCACTTTAAACCACCTAGACAGTCAAGGAATTAAACCAAGGTTCCTTCCTCATGGACATGGAAAGAATAGGCAAAAAATAATAACCCTAACCCTATCTTGAGGAAGAAGGGTAAAACTCTGAGGATCCTGGAAATGGGATTTTATGGGAATATCCAATAAGAAATCCAATCATAGCTTTGGAAGAAATGTTATACAATTCCGCTTATGGCTCTAAGATGAAGAAATAAAACATTAATCATCTTAACTTACACAGCCACTCACAAAATCCATTTCGCTGCTAAGGCAGAAAGCCACGATGTCCATTGGTATAACCATACTTGGAGAGAATCTTAGTTGGACATATGAAGCAAGCTAACAACCTCCTTACTGGAATTATAGTTCTACCATTGACTGCATTTTTTTTTTTAAAGATTTGCTATTTTTCTGGTGCTTGTTTTTCTGGAAGTATACCTTTTGACTTCAATGAGTAGACAGTAAGTAATTCTGTGGTTGGCATAATTACTTTCTTGACTGTAAGGAGGAATAATAGAAAGAAGAAACCTCTGATGCTTTGAGTGTTTATTGTTAGTATTTTTCTGAAGCTCTTAAATATTATTTGAGGAAAATTGTTGGTGAATGTATAAACACCGCACAAAGAAACACCGCCCTTTTCTTTAAAGTCACTAATGTTTCAAAGAAATTAGAAAAGGTATGTCAATGCAATGATTAGAAAAACATGTTGATTGTCATTTGGAAAAATTTGAATGAAGAAAAGCATGAAGAGTAGACTTGTGACTTCTACAAGATTGTGTCTCTATATCTCAGCACTGATAAAGGCAATTTTATGGGGTATCCCCAACATAAAGAGAGGTCAGAGCTCACCTATAAGTGATACTGGTTCGGAGAGACAAACTTCATTTGTATACAATCACAAGCTAAGTATATAACATATACCCTGTTTCCCCGAAAATAAGACATCCCCTGATAATAAGCCCAATCGGGCTTTTGAGCACATGCAGTAAAATAAGCCTCCCCCCAAAAATAAACCCTACCTGAAAATATTAAATGCAGAGCTGGAAATCAGGTAAGATGGCAAGAGGAGCCCCATCTTGCTCCACGCTCCCCAAAATAATAAGACCTCCCCAAAAATAAGGCCAAGTGCTTATTGCGGGGTTCAAAAAAATATAAGACAGGGTCTTATTTTCAGGGAAACACAGTATTTATAAGGCTTTATGCACAAGCAATTCTTGAATAATATCCGATGTGTAAGTCCCTAACCAACTGAAGCTTACCTGCCACAACTTAGAAGAGTCCTCCATCACTTTAATTAGCTTACAGTTTTAATCATGATAAAAAGACATTTTCATTCCATTTAATTTCCTTAGCGCACATGTGTTTACCTGTGAGTTACTGATATCCGATTTTGCATGAGACGCTAAATAAAGTTTGTAATTTGCTTTGCTACATATTTAGCCTTATTTCTATTGTAGCAAACTATTTTTTTTTAACCTGGGGAATGTTTCAGCCAATAGAAACAAGATCATGTTTATATCTCTCTAACAGATGTGTAGCACTGAAAGGAGCTGCTGAACATGATGCTAAGTTCACAAATCCAAATTAAGGGAATTCCCCAAAAGATGGCTGTCCAACTTCTGCTTAACCACATCTTGAAATCCATTCTCAAATTATGTTTAAAATTAAAAAAAAAACTGTTTTCTAGAATTCAAACAGATTCTGCATTCCTAGATCTCCACCCAGCCCTAAAAAGCTGAGGAGCAGGTCTTAACTTCGATCAGCATCGTTCTCATTCATCAAGTTATTTACAATATTAATATAGTGTCAGAATCTTTTACTAGCAAACCAACTCGGGAGATAATCACAGGAGAAAGAAAATAAAGTAGAATTGCCTCCGTTAATGATTTGGTTAATTAATTAATTGGATATCTACTAAGAAATAAATACCTTCTTCAAAATGTCTTCGTTATCTCTTGCCTGCAAAGCCCATGCATTTCCAAGGATTGGAAGAGAGGGAGGACCAGGTGGGAAGTGTCTCCGTGACCACCACTGTTTCAAGGAGAACAGAATCAGTAGAGAAAGAAGAGGAACAAGTAAAGTTATTGATATTTCTATCATGCTGTCTTTTCTCCTTGTTGATTCCTGGATTCTTTCTAATATACTGAAAGGAACTGGGTTCTCTCTCAATACTTGATTGTCTTATAGTGGTTGCCACTTCTCTTCTTCTGTATGTCAGCCTGTATCGGTAGCTCAGGGTTGAGCTGTGGAGTTCCTGGAGTTCTCCTCTGAGTTTAGCTATTTGCTTGTAGATATTTCATGAACCAGTTGGGCAACAAGATGAGTATAGTGTTTGCTCTCTTTTTTTATATAATGGCTTTCCCTGCCAGTTATGATGGGGGTTGGCTTTACTCTGTGGCAATAACTTAATTAGGCATTGTTTTCTGTTCGTTTGTCATGTGTTAACCTCTGTTTATTCGGATGTTGGATGCTGGGAAGGATGTACTCTGACTTTTTTATTTCCTCCTTAGCTTTTTTTTTTTTTAGTGTTTCTCTAGTATGATATGTATATTTGTTTATCTCTATGTGTCTATTGATGGCTGATTTGTCTGATAAGAAGCTTCCAGGTATTACCTAGCATTTTGTTGTGGTCTGCCAGCAGCCTGTGGAGCTGGCAGGGGAGTCGGACAGTGAGGAATCTGGGGAAGGCCTGGACGAGGGCTCTGCGTCGGAGGCAGAGATGGAGCCAGGGCCATCTGGGAGTGATACGTGGACTCTGGAGCCTCCAGAGTCGGACAGCAGAGAGGCAGAGCAACAGGAGGAGCATGTCTCTAGTGCACGCATGCGCAGAGCTGCCAGAAGGCACGAACAGTTAAAACAAAAGGGACAACTCTGGGGTAAGGCCTGGAGATGATTGGCCCCTCCCATAAGGCTTAAAAGAGGTACAAAGGCACGTGGACCCTTTGTAGGAAAGCAATGTTGTTAATTCTGTTCCCAGTTGGCATCTCTGTTTTATTCTGGACTCCGTATGGCTTTGCCAAGTAGATTTTTGGCAGCGTGTCAAGGGAGATAAAGGTTGGTGATTGTCCCAAAGGACTTCTCCCAAAGGACTTTTTGCAACTAATTGGGACTCAGCTGTGAATGAACGTAATTCACAGCTGTTGCAATAAAAGAGGTTTTTGGGACTACTTATATGTTTTAATGACTCAGAAAGCCTAGATCACAACACATTTAGTGGTTTGGCATGGTCTAAGATGCTAATAGTTGTTGTTGTTGCTGAAACGATGGTTTAGCCTGCTCATATGTTGTGAATAGAAGGAGTTTTCATCATGTCTCGTGACTGCTAGTTGGTGTTTATGGTTATGTAGAAGACTAAAGGCTGGATTGGACTTCTGTGTGCTGCACATCAGGGAACATATGCACCTGTCATTCAGAGATGGTTGCATAGCTGTTGCATTTATACATTTGTGAATGTTCTTTCAGGCTAGCGGGCACTCAAACCACAAAGCACAGAACAGGAAGTTAGATCAACCAATCAGCGTGCAGGATGCATGCCTTTGCACAACATGCAGTTGAGATATGGGAGGTGTGTGCATCAGCCTGTATTATACTGCAAAATCTCCATTCCCACCCCACTCCAGGGGAAGGATATTGCAAAATCTCCATTCCCACCCCACTCTGGAGCCAGCCAGAGGTGGTATTTGCTGGTTCTCTGAACTACTCAAAATTTCCGTTACCGGTTCTCCAGAACCTGTCAGAACCTGCTGGATTTCACCCCTGAGATAGGGGAAGAAAGGCATGTAAACCACAACTATGTTCTGAAGGCTCCTTCGGATGCTAACAAAATTTTGATTTTCTACTTTTAGATCTATAAATTCTTTCTTTGCTTGATGAAACATCTCCTAGGACCTCTCAAGGAGACATTGGACTCACCATTCAATCTTTCATTTGTAAAATGAGAAATAGAACAAAACAAGAAATATTATTCTGTGCATGGGCCACATAATTTCCTTGAGTGTTATCTGGTTCAAAAGGTAAAGGTTTACCTCCATTCCTCTACCAGCAATAAAATACCTTATGCCACCAGACTCCAAATTGTGGGCTTAGACAATTTAGAACTATGTCGACTTCAGTCTGACCTAAGCATAGTACATAAAATTATCTACTATAATGTCCTACCTGTCAATGACTACTTCAGCTTCAACCGCAACAATACACAAGCAAATAATAGATACAAACTCAAGGTAAACTGCTCCAAACTAGATTGCAGAAAATATGACTTCAGCAACAGAGTGGTCAATGCCTGGAATGTACTACCTGGCTCTGTAGTTTCTTCCCCAAACCCCCAAAACTTTAACCTTAAACTGTCTACTGTTGACCTCACCCCATTCCTAAGAGGTCTGTAAGGGGCGTGCATAAGTGCACCAGCATGCCTACTGTCCCTGTCCTAATATTCTTTTTTACTTACTCTTTTCATGTATTCAAATTAGGTTTATACTTTTACCTGTTATCTTATATATGCTTGACAAAACAAACAAACAAACAAACAAACAAACAAACAAACAAACAAAAACGCGACACATTTGGAGGCTGAAAATGCAATGCGCTGTGCCCAAAATGGCTACCCGGAACATCTCCTCCCCTCTTTTACCCCTTCCGTGCTTCTCCTGCTTTAGTCACTGGAACACCTTCTGATGATCAGCTGTGCTTTTGAAGCTGTTTTTCAGCCCCAACCCGGCACTTGCGAGTGAAGCGATCTTCCGCGCTTTGCCTGCTTTTCTAATTGCTGCTCCCTCCGATGATCAGCTATGCGTTAGAAGCCGTTTTTTAGACTCAATCAGCCCCAACCTCAAAATCAGCAAGTGAACTAATGTGCTGAAGCTGACCAGGCTAAAGACACTAGCCAGATGAATATCTGGTAGACAAAATCCCCCCCCCATTTTCCTCCCCAAAAACTAAGGTGCGATTTATACTCCGGTGCATCTTATACTCCAAAAAATATGGTATATGAAAAATATTATTAAATTGCACATGCTGGTGGGACTCACTTCAAGGCACATTATGAGAAAGACCTCACCTAACGAAGCGATACACTCATATTTATACATCTCAGAAAGACAGGAGAGACTAATGCAGGGGTGAAATGCTCCCGGTTCGGACCGGATCACCCAATCCAGTAGCAACAGTGGCAGGTTCTTTGGAGAACCAGTAGCAAAAATCCCTGCCCGCTCCCACATGCCCAGCTGAGCCGCACAATCATCAGAGGCTTTTTTCTTTTTATTTTTAAAAGCATTTTTTCTACAATCTCTTTGGCCAAAAAAATGCTTTTAAAAGTAAAAAAAAAAAGCCTCTGATGATCATGCGGCTCAGCTGGGATTGTCAGAGGCTTTTAAAAGCATTTTTTCTACAGTCTCTGAAGAGGTTGTTAAAAAAATGCTTTTAAAAGGCTCTGACGATCCCAGCTGAGTTGCCTGATTATCAGAGGCCTTTAAAAGCATTTTTTTAAACAAGTTCTTCAGCCAAAGAGATTGTAGAAAAAATGTTTCCAAAAGAAAAAAAAAAGCCTCTGACAATCAGGCAACTCAGCTGGGATCGTCAGAGCCTTTTAAAAGCATTTTTTTACAACCTCTTCGGCCAAAGAGGTTGTAGAAGAATAGTTTTAAAAGAAAAAAAAAGTTGGCCATGCCCACTCAGTCACATTACCTCCCCAAGCCACGCCCACAGAACCGGTAGTAACAAATTTTACACTTCACCACTGGACTAATGTATAAGCAACAGATGATGTCACAGGTAAAGGATTTTAAGTTACTATAAATAATGGAGTTCAAGTTAGCTCCTGCACATGCTTTCCTTCAGAAACCAAAAAGGAGGAACTGAAACAATGAAACAGCAATAAAATATCTGTCATAAATCAAGAGGAGGAGGCAATTTGGGCATGCCAGATATCGACAAAGAAAAACATTTACCATTGTATAAGATAATAAATGTTGGCCTTATACCTGTATACATCAACTCGGTTTAAACAATTCCATTCTTCTAAGAACTGAGTTTCCCCACATGTTGGACCATGGACTAACCAACTATATTGTTTAAGTTGTGTGTTGTGTATATGTGACTAATTTATGGTTTAATGTCGGGTGGACTAAATGGAGTACTGTAATTTACTAATTTATTTATTTATTTATTTATTAGATTTTTATACCGCCCCCTCTCCCGAAGGACTCGGGGCGGTGAACAGCCAAAATTAAAAAACATACAATATAAACTAATGAAGACTAGAGCACTGGCTTAGCTATTCCTCTACATAAAATACTATCCTAGGGAAACTAAAATTCTCAGTTCAGCTATCAAACGTTTAGTAGGCCAAGAATAATAAGCTAGGAAGCGATACCGGGAGGTGAATAGCGTTCTGGATAATCAATAGGAATTATATTCCTCAAATATATGCGTTTTGTAGAAAACAGCCTTTTTGTTCTTTCAGAACCCCAATTATTTATTTTAATTGTTTTATTTATTAAATTTACATGCTACCCATCTCACTCCCAAAAACAACCCTTTGGATTATGTTGCAGTCCCACACCATTATCTGACACCCTAAGGGTCATACTGACCTCATTAACACATGATGCAATTGAATACTAACTATTGTCTTTACCTAATCAAATACCTTCTTTATCTATACACATGTATATTCTCATGTGTACTTGTCTATAAAAAGAGGCCACAACCTCACCCATCTTTAGGTGTGCCTTTGCCTCCAGGGTAGTCAATAACCAGTTTGCGCATTAGTGTAACTGGGTCCTGATTTCCAGTTCAAATGATCCCTTAGATAGTTCTGGTATACTAAACTATGACCCAGATAGGGCAGTATCTAATTTTTTTACTACTGGTGTGGCTTGGTGGTGGGCATAGTGTGGCTTAGTAGGCGTGGCAGGAGAAGGATACTGCAAAATCCCCACTCCCACCGTACTCCAGGGGAAGGATATTGCAAAATTCCCATTCCCACCCCACTCCAGGGGAAGGATACTGCAAAATCTCCATTCCCACCCCACTCTGGGGCCAGCCAGAGGTGGCATTTGCTGGTTCTCTGAACTACTCAAAATTTCCGCTACCGGGTTCTCCAGAACCTGTCAGAACCTGCTGGATTTCACCCCTGAGATAGGGGAAGAAAGGCATGTAAACCACAACTATGTTCTGAAGGTTCCTTCAGATACTGACAATATTTTGCTTTTCTACTTTTAGATCTA